TACTAGCTAGAATCATACTGTTGCGTCAAGAAGAAATTTGGAAATATGTCAGCAAATCTGATCATACAAATAGTATAAGAATGGCTACCATCAAGAGTCAACCAACAACAAATACTCGAGGTGCTGTGGGAAAAAAGGAATTCTTCTACACTGTTCCTGGCAATGCAGACCGGTACAACCAGTTGAAAATCAGTCTGGAGATTCCTCAAAAAATTAGGATTAGAGGTCCCATTTAACACAGCCATTCCCTTTCTGAGTATTTTCCCAGAATAATTAAAAGCATAATGCCACATTGATGTATGTGCACCTATGTTTATAGCAGCACAATTTGTCATAGCAAAATCTTGGAAACAATCCAAATGCCCATTCACTGAGGAGTGGATAAGAAAAATTTGGTATTTTTATAATGTGGAGTATTATTCAACTATAAAGAAAGATAAGTGGAGACTTTTATAGGTAAATGGATGCAACTAGAGACCATACTCATAAGTGACATAAATCAGACCCGCACATGTAAACACCATATTGTTCCCTAGTGTAAGAACCTGAAAGAGTAAATAAGACTGAAAGTTACAATAGATATTGTGAAAGGAAAAGAAATTACTCAATAGAAAAGAACAACTAGGATGAGGAAAAGGAGAAAAGAAAGAAGGAAGATTATATATATATATATATTTGCTAAGATAATTACACTACTAGGTTCTACTGGTTTATTGAAGGGAACGTTAATGTTTCATTCTTTTATCAATCTTGAATACCTATATGTGGTAATGTGAGCAACTACTTTGAATATAACAATAAGTAATACAATAATAATTGTTGATTTCTTATCATCTGGCTTTGAAAAAAATAAAGGCAGATGTCACTTTGGGCTCCATAAATGTATGATGGCGTCATTTCCTTGGTGTTTGCTAAGGTATCTCTAGAGAAATGATCTGGAGTAAGTTACAAATGCTATCCTATATTAATGAATTCTGATCTGAAAGCAAAACAAAAACTTTGAACTCCAATAGAATTAATAGATATTGTGTGGACAGTCACGCCTCTCCATGTAACACAGATACACAGTCCCTAGTTCTCTGTTTCAATCACCACTTCTCCTGAGGTTGTGCAGCCAAATCAGAATGAAAGCTCTGAGTGCCCTCTGAAATGTTTCAAGGACCTCAGCAGGGAGAACAGCAGTACCTAAGAAGAACAGTCCCTCACCTTGGGTTTTTCTCAGCTCCTCCACCAGGAAGTGGGCTTCCTCTTGAATACGGCTCTCAATGCTCCTTTTCCCCATCCCAAAATTCCGCAGGGTCATGAGGGAGAAGCGCCGAGTCTCTTTCCATATGTTCCCATTGCTAAAAACAATTCCTAAACGGGAAGAGGTACAAAAGGGACACATAGGCAAGGAAAAAGGAGCTCACATGTGGTATCCACACAATTAGCTAAGCTCTGCCTGAGGAACTCTTCCATTCTTTGCCTCCATCCTGCTCATCCCCACCACCATTGTGCAATACATAAATGTGCACACACGAACATACATACTTACCAAGCCCTTTATTAATTTTTTCAGCTATTGGCAAACTCCCTCTTCCAACAAAGTCCTCCCCATGATCAATCATGGCTTCCTTCACTGCCTCATATCCATGTAGCACCACAGTGGGCTTCATGCCAAAATACAGGGTGAACACAGGGCCATAGACTTTTGAGAACTGGGTGTGAGAAAGCAATAAAGAGCAAAATAAAAGATCAATAATAGGAAATAGGGAGACAGATCTCTCTCAAATTGGAAGGGTATTAATAGATGGAGGAAGAAAGACGTAGGGGAAAAAGGGCTGAAAAAAGGAATTGAGGTGGATTAAGTACATGTACCAACTTCTCACAAAAATGTAAACATTATGTGCTGCAAACATGTGCTAATAAAAAAGAAAATGCAAATATTACTGAAACAAGTCACTATTTGATCTACAAATTTTGATTGCTTCAGATGGATACTCAAATTATACATGTTATATTTTTATTCTGCTATGGTTCACTTTAATGATTTCAGAATTTTGTTCACAAATAAAATGATAGTAATCATGGCATCTACTGATGGATTCACTATTCTACCACTTTACTATCACATAAGTATTTCTTGATATCAGACATAATTTGCTTCTTCATAGAAACTTAATTTTCACGGGTATTCTGAACAAAACCTATAGGTCAGTGATGGCAATCCTGTGCCCAGACTGGAACGCAAGACCCACTTACTTATCACAAAGTGCCAACACTGCAGTTAAACCCAAACACTGAGATTTTAGTACAGCACAAACATCTCATATACTCTGTGACATCATTGCAGAGTTGGCTCTGCATGCCCGCTGTGGCACACATGCCATAGGTTCACCATCGAGTCTACAGGTCATGCTACACATAACTTCTTGAGAAGCATCTCTTATCACAAAAATACTAATCATAGTTGAACGTCAGGAAAAAAATAAACAACCATAGCAAATGACTTTGAAATAATGAAGGGCTGGAACACTACAGATTTTAGCCATTGTATTATTTTTACTGTAACTTATGACAATGTAAATGTTTTTCTTAATGCAAATGCACTACCTTATCTCACTACTGTAACAAGGAGAAACTTTAAAAAGCAAGCAAAAATCAAACTTCATAGAAAGTATTTCCTGGATGGTAATCTCTTCTAATAATTTGATCCAGGAATATATATAACTTAAAAACAAGGATTAATTTACTTGCCATTTGCAAGTCACTAGAGGAAGCTAAAACATACTTACATTTGTTAAGGACTTAGTGATATTTTTAGTATCTATCTGCAGAATGTTTCCAATAATTGGGAGAGGAGTGGGGCCAGGAGGGAGCTTCCCTTTCCCAGACCTCTGTCTCCAGAGTGAAAGGAGAAGGAGACAGGAGAGGCCGAGCAACAGGATCACCACTGCATCCATTGAAGCTTCTGTTCATACTGAGTCAATGTGATCCAAGGCTTTTATATGCTTACTGTTATTGTACTATGTCCTTTAGTCATTTAAAGTGATGAATCACCCAGAAAGAACTGCAATCATTTCTTAGATTGTACTTTGGCCACTTGATAAACAAAATGTGTTCTTTACTCTTGCTATCCCTGCCAAATCCTTATCATTGTCCTTCTAGATCAGTCATTCTGGATAAATATAGAAACTATTCATTAAAAATACAAGTAATTAACTGTCATGACCCTCATGGTTCTAGATGGTCCTGGGGAAAAATGGAGAGGGAATGAAGAAAATAAGAGAAGAGACAAAGCTGAAGCCAGGTAGAGATCCTCTCTCTCCTTATGGGAGGAGAAGAATTTAACAAAAATGGTAGGCGTGTATATTTATAATTTTAACAAGGTTAGTATCACCAGACACAGAGTTGCCAAGAATTCTCTCAGGTTGACTGGAATTCTCTCAGGCAGCGTGCTTTTCTCAGGACCAAAATATTTCCAGCCTCATCAGCTCCCTACAGTAAACTGCAGGTGGTACCAATGCATAGGTAAGAGTAAGAAACAATAAATAAAATTATTGAATTTATTTATGGTTTTGTCTCATTATGTAGTTATGGCTGTCCTTGAAATCACTATGTAGTTCAGGCTGTCCTCAGAATTGCAGTGATCCTCCTGGATCAGCCTCTTGATTGCAGGCATCTGCCACCACACCAGGCTAAAAGCAACTTGATATAAAACAATGGTTAATATTACCGATTCTCACAGAAATGACTAGTGGATATCCTGAACCTTTGGGGAATCAATATATTCCAAGATTTGCATATAATGTATTTAACTTGTATTACTTAATCAAGCACTAGGGTAGCTTGTCTTGGAAAATAGCAATGTTCTAAATATTTGAAAGGACCAAAGCAATATAACTATCAGGATATAAAGTAGCCAGCATTTATTCCACATTTTGAGGACCAATCTTAATTAACTAACAAAATGAATACACATAATTTCCATAGTTAAAACACTGACTGAAGGAAGAAAACTAATTTTTATTTGTTAAATGGGGAAATAGGAGATGAAAGGAGAACAGGAAAATGTGTCACACAGATCATGAATGATAACACTTGGATTAGAACGAACTTTAGTGGCGCTCTTTGTAGTAAATAGTAGCTGACACCACACGTCTCTCAAAAGTCATGTTAACAAATAAAATAAAATAAAATCCAAAAACGTTTAATCTGAATGTATACCTCATTGATTCTGTGCATAAGGTATCAGTCTTTCCATTAAATTAATATCATTATTTCATCCCAAGGACATCTGTCCTGTAGATTCTCCAAAAGAAAGATACAAAGATAAAGTTTTTACCTCTTCATCAATAAGAGGCAAAATGTGTTCACCAGAACCAAGGAAAAAGCCTAATTCAGAGAACTAAATGGGTAGGGCTTGAGAAACTTGGCTCCCCCATCTCCTAGCTGCTTCCAGATAGGTCTGCTTCTCTTGCTTTCTAGGACGTCCTTGTGAGAAATAACAGAATGAAGTATTGGACCACAATGAACAAGATCAGTGACAGAAGAGCAGACATGTGCTTTAAAAGTGGATGGGAGCCCAAGAGTACATTAAAGAGACTCCTCATTCACAAAGACACAATATGAGAATCTTAATAGGAGACCATATTTTGGTACACATATATCTATGTGCCATTGGGTTGATATGCATTACTGGATCACTAATACTAATGCTTGTACAATGATGTGTCTTGTCAAAATCTCATTGTAATTCTTTTAAATTTGTGACCTTAGGTGTGAATGAGCTCTTTTCATAGTGAAAATGTATTTCTTGTCAAGATCCCAGATATACAAACTTTACATCTCACGTTTATTGAGATTCTATAAATTAACAAATAATTTTCACACTTATTATAACACTTTTGTCACTGTCCATTACCACTGACTAAAGTAAATCTATTCCATTTTTTTTAATGACAATCTGGGCCTCAGAGATCCAGTGCCTCATGCATGTGCCAAAGATTCAGTACACATTTTTATTCTGAAGCTTCAGTACATAGTAGTTCCTAAAGTTGGGTCCATGTACCAAATGAGGAACTTGAGATTCACTGCATTTTCTGTATACCATTAACAACTTTGATCTGGATGATATCAAGGACCTATGGCATAGCTCCCCTGCTTTCTGACAGCTCCTTAACCCAGAAAGTTTGTGATGGGGACCAGACTCAGGATCCATACAACCTGGTCTATTATTTATTATATGAGACTGGCCAGAGCCTCAGACCCAAGACACGGTGCCTAAATACTTGAGACCTCATCCATACTTTCTTCCTTCACCCCTTTCCACGTGCCAAGCCCAGAAATCTACTTGACTTGGTTTCAGCCCTGCCACTGGGCAGAGCTGGCTCTGCTATTTGTCTTTCATTAGGAAGGCCCACACCCAAGCTCTTTAGACCAGAGTGCTGAAATGAAAATCCCCAGAAAGGCATTTTGAAGAAAAGTGATATTGGGAAAGGACCTTCTTGCTAATGAATAGTTTGGAGATCCCAGAGGTTACCAGGCCCTCTGGTAAGGGGAACAGAGGTGAGGAATCAGAGCTTAAATCTCCTTGTCTCTTCCCTGAGCATCTTTAGGGAGTCCAGCCTTCCCAGACCGCCCCCCCATAACCAGAGAACACAAGACATGGACAGGCTGAATCCTACCAGATTCTTTACTCCATAGCTTGCCCTGTCCACTGAATCACTACACAGCTCACATTTTGAAATTCAACTCTTTATTAATAACATAAGCACAGTAATTTTCATCTCTTTTTCATACCCTGGTGTATAGAAATATTAACAAAGAAAAAGATCATTATATTTTAAGTGTCTTTGTAGATTGAACTGCTCCCTGCTAACATTGTTTTAAAAAGATTGAAAGGACTCATCAAAGAAATAATCTACTTGTATTTTCTAGAGACTATACTATTTGGGAGTAACTTAAGTGATCTCTATTTTCTGGATTGATCCTGACATTTACATTACTATCAAGAAGACAGAAAATAAAACTACTTGCAAAAGAGATTTGTTCAACATGTATACTTATTTCAATGATATTTTAAGGAAAAACAAGAATCCCAGTTACCTAAGAGTCTTCCAGTGTTCTGATTTTTTTAATAAATAGTACATTTTCAGAAGGAGGGTGCCCCAGGGGACGAAAGCCATGAAAGGGGAGAAAAGGTGGAAAAGTACACATTGATAAGAAACAGACCTGGAGGGACACAGCTGATGTCCTAGAGGATGAAGAAATACAGGACAGTATCTTGCCAAGAACTCCCCTGTAGGCCCACAGGAAACCTGGGTGGGAGCTCGGAATAGAGTTGAATGAGGAAATCAACCTAGCAGCCAGGAACAGATGCTGAGGAGAGGAACAAGACCATCCTGTCTCAGAAGAAACAGCAGCCCATGCACAGAGATTAGGTAGCAAATGCTCACCCTCTCACTGGGACTGTAAGATGCCTAAAGTCTTTTCTAGAAGTTCAGGTTTTATCACAGTTTGGGTTTTTTCTTAGTCTTGGACTCCCAACTTTCTCCTAGATGACATCTCCTAGATGACAAGGCTTGTTCAGGTAATTTTCTCCCAAACTATCTCTGGTGTTAGTTCCAGGACAGAACCTATATCCATGTGAAGAATAAATGGTTTTTTCTCAGTTGTCCTTCAAGATATTTGAATTACTTCCTATAGTCTCCAGCTTTTCATTCTCTCAGCTCACTGGGTCACTGGGTTCACAGCCACCTCCTTTTTGCTGGAAGTCATGATGCATCTTGTCACCTGGGACACTTAGCTTCTGTTGGTGATGCTCGGTCACTGGTCACTCTATTCCTCCTTCCTCAAGATGGTGGACTGGCTATTTAATGGAAGATATCTCATGCTGAACCTCTTTATGATGACCTTTTTCTTCTTCAGACATACTTGTGTAGAATATGTTTTTGTACTATTTGGAATATTTAAATGCATCCTTGACTTTTCAGTCTTTCTCTGAAAAAGGGTCCTTTGCTAGGGTGTCAACATTTCTCCATTCCCTGACTCCGTGTTACCAGTTTCTCCTATTCCAGGTTTGCTACCAGACCTTTACCAGCGTTGTTCACAAAAGACCACACTCTCCCCCAAGGCCCTAGAGTTCCCTGGAGACCATCAGTCCTTTTCAGGTTCCCATAATATTTCTAACTGTAGTTTAGCTTCTCTTGTTTTGATGAATTTGGTTTCATCATGCAGAGCTACAATATTTTATTCTGCAGAGATATCAGTACCCCTCATTCTGAATCTTGAGGATTTTCTTTTTACTGGTGTCTGTGACGATGTGTATAATGCTCAGGTGTGGACACATCTTGGTCACAGGATGCTCCTGCATTTTTCTCTTTTTTCTCATAGGATGAAACTGGTGAAAATGAATAACATTTTGGTTTTTCTCCGGTACCGGGAACCGAACTCATGACCTTGCGCTTGCCAGGCAGGCGCTTTTGCCGCTGAGCTAAATCCCCAGCCCCATGAATAACATTTTGCTAGAGCCAGCTATGAACAGCTATTGACATGTTCCTTGTATCTTTGTAGAGACGTCCTCCCTTTGCCTAACAAAATCTTCCTAAGGGCAAGAGATCTGTGAATGTTTAACCATCCCAAACACCTCCACTGTCTCATTCTGATATCCAAGCACAGACAAATTTACTTTCTCATCAGCAGTGGATTATTGCATGAAATATCTGCTACCATTGCCACAAGTGCAGATGCCCAGAAAAATGAAGTTCTTCCATAATGGCACAGTCTGATGCAGAGGACACTGAACACCATGGCCTTTCAGGCCACGTTATACCATACAGGTTACTCAATGAGGTTCCTCCATGAACCAAGTCTAGGTCAGCAGACTGGGACTGACTGCCCTGGAAGAGGGTTGAGTGGGCAGCACCGAAACAATACAGAACTCAAACATAATCTAGTTTGTTTTGGCATTTCCTTCCTGTACATAAAATTCTTCTTC